CAAGTTCTATGTTGAATCCAGACAGACAGACAGATTGGACAGGACTTCCTGCCGACTGCCTCCAAACATCTGATATATATATATATATATATATATATATATATATAACTTTCTCCAACCATACTTGTATTTATAACGCTTCACTAGTATTATTGCTTACATATATAGTTAAAGACAAAAGGACGCTAGTGTTTACCTAATTGAGATACTTCCCCCGTAAATACTCATTGGTGATTGACAAGAGATGATTATGACTCACTTCACATTCAGTATTACACTGGATCAGTGTAAACAGATAGCCCATAATAATAATGAAGTATATCAAGTGTTGGATCACTACTTTTCAAGTATATTTGAATTATCCAATCTTTGAGTTTTAAGTAAACATTATTACTGAAGAGTACTCAAAGTGTTCAATAATCCTGTCAATCATACGATTGTTGCAACATAAAAACATAAAACATTATTCAGATATGAACAGGAGACCTTCCATGGATCAGTGGTAGAATGCTCACCAACCATGCTTCATGTGGTTCGGGGTTCGACCTCCTCGCATGAACGCATTCCTATACTTCGCTTAGCTGGTGTAGTAAGCCAGGTAGAGAGGAAAGGTTGAGTGTGTAAAAAAGAATGCCGCTAATGAGACTTCCAACGTTCAAGCTTGAAGTCCTTTGTTCCATTCGGGATACAAAGGACAGGTATATGTGAGGACGGAAGAACTTTGATGACCACACTATCTTGTTTGCAGTGAATTACTGTGTATGTAAATCGATATTACACATAACACTAGTCATTGTAATACAGTTAAATTTCTATGAATAATCAGGTAAGCTGTCAAATGGGCTTGAATACCGAATACTGCCGGTTTCAGTGAGCCTTACTACTGCAGTTTCAACACAAAATTTAGCATACAACTGCAGTAGTTCAAACTGTCACACTTCGCTTAGCAGACAAGAGGACAGAGAAAAGAGAGAATGCAGAAATATAAAAGTATTATAATGAACAGAAATGAAGGTTTAACTGACATGCGAGATCACAAAGAAGAGTGAAATAGATCTTCGGCTCTGAAAACGATTTTGAACCATAATCATCAATAGACAGTCTCCAGTCATTGTCGTTCTTAACAGCCCGAGGATTCTCCAATCAGACAGTCCATACCACACCTTCCTACATAACTCAAAACAACTATCAAAGACACCACGGATGGATTCCATGTTTCGCTCTGCAGCCACGCCCTACTAACTCTTTTCCAATCTAATCCTGTGCCAGCTAACATTGTTCATAAACGAAAGGAGTGGCTGGGTATGCGTAACATATGTCGTTTCACTATTTGATTAACTGACTTCTCTACCTTTTTTTATTTTATTCTGATTATAGTTTGGAACCACACAGTATTTTTGGTACAGATATGGAATTTTCAACATGTGAAATCGGTAGCCCAAATTTTTCAGGCCGACCATTGATAGCCGGTGTGCGCCGGCAGGGGATCGAACCCCGGACCATGTGCATGGTCGGCGAGAGTCCTAACCGCTGTGCCACCAACGCACACGATGCACCTTACCTAATTACTCTACGCCTAACCTGAACAATAACACTTGATACTCACATCAACCAGTAAACCATACATACCACCTTGTGGAGCTGTAAAACTTATTGGTTAAGGAGCCTCACTTCCAACCAATGAGGTCAGAGATTCAAACCCCGATTTTAATGTGGTTGTGTTCTCTGAACTGGATAGTTTATACTTGCGGAGCTTTCATTGCCTCCTACTAGGCAACATCTTCAGCGCATACACTTGAATTCGATAGAGTGAGCTTTTAGATTTCTCCTGGTGGTAACCTTGAAAGACATCGTGATTGATTGTTTCTGTTTGTCTTCACACCTTGTAGACTTCTACTTGTATTGGAACTGATTGTTTCCCTGACTTGAACTTTGACCCTTAGTGTGTGAGATTTCCTTTTTACCGATTGGTAAATATTGTCAGCGTCGACGTGTCTATTAATTGACTATCCAGTGGAATACCAGGCTTCTAAAAATTCTGTCATTCTTAGTGTTCTTTCCTCTGTCTAATATTTGAACGTTGGTTGTCCCAGTGGAATTGATGTCCGTGGTTATCTGTATGCCGAAGTGTGAGTGGAAACACACAAAACACGACCAATCACGGCGTTGTTCAAGGTCACACACCAGGAGAGATCACTTATAAACTCGTGGAGAAATCTAAAAGCTCACTTCATCAAATTGAATTGTATGCGCTGAAGATGTTGCCGCCTAGTAGGGGTCAATGAAAGCTTTGCAAATTAACTATCCAGCTCAGAGAACACAACCACATCAAAATCATCCACCTGAGCTACATATCTTCTCCATCATATCTAATTCAAACCCCGGCTCCATGGCCTACCAAGGTGTGAACAGTCAGGTAGGATCTCACTGGACTTCACACACACACACATACACACACACACAACACATGTGGCTCATTGCCAAGTAGTAGTTGTTTTGATATTGTTGCGTAACATACGCACGCACACACACACACACTTCTAACTTCTTCACATACCACATCTTGTAAACACACGCACGCACGCACACACACACACACACGCACGCACACAAAATCAATGTTCCATTTTAATTGAGGTTAACAGAAAGAGAGCAAAACAAAATACTTCAGGAGTGTGTCTATCATCATAGTCAATAACAGCAGCAGTAGCAGCAGCAACAACAACAGAAACACTGTAATCTTATGGAATAATTATCTTTACACACACACTCACACACACTATATGAGGAGTAACTTAGAGAGAGAGTGATTCACTTAATAAATAAAGCAGATATAATGCAAATGAATAAACACACAAACAAAAGATAATTAGATCTCCGTAGGGTTTAAAAATAATTAAGATGATTAAAAACGCATCTGCAATTTATGATAAGTCTAGGTTGTTGTATTTGGAAATGTTTAACATTTTTCTCAACAGAATCTTTGCTATTCTTTTTCTGCTCTATGGCTTTCGCCAATATTACAGGAATATGTGTTCAGCTGGCAACAAAGACTCTAGAAGATTTGGAAGTAGAGGACGATTGATATTTGATACCACACAGATTTAAGGATCTACTGTCGAAAACCAACCAACTGATTGAAGAGGCAGGTAGCAAAGACTCCAAGGAATTCAGGTGATGAACATAGAGAAGACGGAGGTGTTGAAAATAACCAACCAACCAACCAACGGCAACAACAACAACAGCCAGCACTGATCAACGCCAACGGAAGAAATTTCAGAGAGAGGTTACTTCCTCCTACAATTTAGGCCGTCCTTCTCGATGGCTCTGAAACATGGCCAATACGAGCTGAAGACATGGAAAGGTTGTCTGTTTTTGACCACAGATGTTTACGATCTCTTTCTCACGTTGGGTGGTATAATAAGGTAAGTAATGTTGACGTTAGGCGTAGAGTGTTGGGCAAAGAGGGAAAATCAGTCGAAGAGGCTATGAAGTTACATAGATTGAGATGGCTAGGTCACGTGCTGCACATGCCTAACCATCGCCTCCCGCACCGCTGACGGGCATTACTAGCTGATATAGGTGCAGGTTGGAAAAGAGTAAGTGGTGGCCAAACAAAAACATGGCCTCATCAATCCATAAAATCCCTGACAGTTAAACTGAGTCAGGTAGGGAGATGCAGACTTCCGGGTTGGGGCCCGCCCTCGGGACTCTAACAATCAATCAATGGCTGGAGACAATAGGTGACATGGCTCAAAATCGTTGTCAATGGCTTACGCAGATGTATTCAGTCTCTGTAATCTTTCATATTCCTTTCTACCATTACTCATTCTGTTCCACTTTTATACTTATCTAAATTCTATTGATTCTCTTCTCTCATTTTCTTGTCTACCCTTGTGTGCTATTTGGAACGAGGCATCTCGAACTGCTGCACTTTGATGCCAAGTTCTATGTTGAATCCAGCCAGTCAGCCTAAAATTTAGGGACCATCGTTTTTAACTACAGAATGAAAATGTCAGTCATAAGTCAGGCAGAATCCGAAATGCGAAATACTCCTTTATCAAAATGAAATCAGTTTGGAAATCTCTTCTACATTCAATCAACACAAAGAACAAGATTAAGGATTTCCAACAGCCTGCTGCTGTAGACTTCTAACAACACAGCTATCTTTGTTCTCTGTCGAGGATCAAATGGCCACCAAGGAAGAATTAGTAACAAGAAACTCTGGGAATAAACTAAGAATCATCTATTGCTTAACAAATATGCAGGAGAACATTGAGATGGATAGGGTATACGCTACTGAGGAAACCATTAAGTGAAATCACTGATGTCAGCTCATGATGAAATCTTCCAACCAATCAAATTAAACAACAGTAAAGGTCAATCTGGAAATCTTCGTCACTCAGCATCAACATCAAAATTCAGATTTTCAATACAAACGTCAAGTCAGTTCTTCTATACGTGCGGATGAGAAACTTGGCGGGTCACAAAGAATATTTCCAACAGCCTGTTGCTGACCTTTATCAACAACTGTCTTCGTTCTATACTCAAGATCAGATGGCCGGAAAGAATCACCAACAAGAAACTATGGGAACAAACAAAACAAGAACCAATCGCCCAACAAATATGCAGGAGAAAGTGGAGATGGATTGGACACTCGCTGAGGAGGCCGCTGGGTGACATCGCGCGTCAGGCCATCGCTCGAGTGGAACCCGAAAGGGAAGCGGCGAGTGGGACGTCAGTGCAAGGGTGACATGGAGGAGATCGTGTGATGAGGAACTGAAACAGTATGGACTAACATGGATGCAGGTGAAAAGTAGAGCAGAAGACAGAAGCAAGTGGAGACGTGCAGTCGAAGCCCTATTTTCCACTAGGAACCCAAGGGAACAATAATAATAATAAAGGTCTTTGCTTTTATTTGCTTATTGTGAGCAATAAATAACTGGCGCGTATACACAGAAAACTATAAAATCAAAAAAATATATGTATATAATGCTCACCTATTTGTACAGTATAATGAGTAGCTCCAAAAATCAACTCTGGCGCTCGATAATATCGTGAACAAATGTAGGAGACATTGGGTTCTTCAGGATTCAACGCCTTAGCACTATTATGATTTATATATAGACAAAAGAGAAAACGCTAGAAATACCATCTTATATGATTCATACAATAATATTAAAAGAATCTTTATTAAAAAGATTTTTTAGAAAAAAGAAGAAATTCAGATGCTAGTGAAAATTATTTTCACGTTACTATATATATATATATATATATATATATATATATATTTCACATCAAAGTAGAAGAAAGGCAGGTGATGAATAGGAAAGAAATACGTAAACAATGATGACTTATTCATCGATCAGCAATGCGTGGGTACAAAATTATGTACACATGGCACCACTAGCAGCATTGATATTAAGTCACATTGCTACGACTAACTTCTATCACTATTTTTAGATACTAACCATCATCTTGACTACAACCACACTAACCATGAGCAGGGGTGTTTCTCGCAAAAGAGAATGTGAACGTTTGGTGCTTACAACCGAACTGGTGAACATTTAGGTCTACTATCTGGTTATGGGAGTGCGTCGGTGGCAAAGCGGTAGAGTGCTCGCCAACCACGCCCCATGTGGTTCGGGGTTCGATCCCTGGCCATCGACGCACTACCAAACGTCGTTAAGCCAGTGTAAATAAGACTAGGGATAAAGAGGGAAGGTCAGGCATGAGGCTGGCTAGCAACCCCATCCCGTAAAAATAAAAACACCACTGCTACCGAAACTTCAAGCCTCGAGCTTTAAGGCTCCCTATGTTCCATTGGGAATGTAAAGGAATAAAAAGAAATCTAGTTAAGACAGTTGGAAAACCATGATTCCAAACCTACGGTGGTGTATAAGGACTCAAGAATCTGAAAGAATCAAATAGTGTATGAACTTGTTTTGCCCAATAGAATCAACGGGGACACAACTCCTGTGTCTTGTGGATTAGAATCCAAGTCATAGGATCAAGACAGTTGGCCCTTTAAGACAACCACCACTAGCTTCAGTCCGTGTGTGTGGGTAGTGTATGGAACATCTCAAAGGGGCCCATAATATACCAAGTTTGCGTTTTAATAATAATAGTAATAATAACAAACAATTAACATAGGCAAATTTAAGTCATTTTAATTGTGAACAGATGATATAACCTTCCTACTGACTTAACCGACTCACACTGTGTGCATAAAAATCGCGCTACCGCTTCATATGCTCACAAGAAAGGTATTGTATTTGTTTTCAAAGTCTAATGAATCTAGCCAATGTAAGTAACAGGACCACTACGAATTTATGTCACCTTCACAAAACTCAGAGGATAGGATGAGGTTAACTGTTTGTTGATGACTAACACCAGAAAAGAAAACATGTGCTTTGTTCTATTTGAGACTCGTCAGTCGGATTCACTTACATTCCCAGTGAGACTCGAACCCAGTTCCCATAGTTCTAAACGTCGAAGCGTTATTCATTTTGCCACTGGACTACGAGATCCACTTCTAGTGCAATAGGTACAGTTTAAAATTATTTATTTATGTTTGTGAATCGCTGATTCAACGAAGAAATGCTCACCAACCCCACCACCTCACGTGGTTCTCGGTTCGAATCTCAGGTTGCACATACTAATAAACCATTTGGTCAAATTTTGATCACAGTTCACATGAATAAACCTCATCTAGTTTACTAGCCTACAGCAGATCTGGGAAAGAGAAGATTGGGAGTGAAGCTATCAACCCCACCCCACATAAACAACAACAAGTCTGGAGCAGAGTCTTCCGAACACCTTAACATGAACAGCAATCTTCAAATGATTGGCATCCAATTCGCTCTTGCTGTAAAATGTAACATGATAAAGCTTCAGGACTGGACTGGACTGGACTACATCGACTCACTCCTAGCTTAAATATAGGCAGGAGTGAAGTGGTTGGTGGAGCGTATTGATGACCACTTACTTCACTTATTTGATGAGTTGCGTCAGCAAACAACAATGAGTTGATCGATGACGAAATCTCAGCACGGATATAGAAGACTCATTTAGCATATGCCAACTTACATCACCTCTGGTTTAGTAGACGTGAAATCTGGCTATCGAACAAAGGACGTGTATATTGCCCAGCAGTTCCCTACCTCATACTTTATAGCTGTGAGACATGTTGACCATTGAAAGTGGAAGATATGAAAAGGCTGGCTCGCTGTCTTTGATCATAGCTGCCTCTGCATTCTATCTCCCGTGTTAAGTGATATAACAGGGCGAGCAATATCGAGGTTAGGAGTCGAGTGCTATTGTGTAGGGAAGGGAAATCAATCAACGAGGCTGTCAAGTTACATTGATTGAGATTGTTAGGACATGTGTTACACATGTCTAGCCAACTATCGCCTTCCTCGACGACAGGTAATGCTAGCTGACATAGAATGAATCAGGTTGTTGGGAAAGATCTAGTGGTGGTGAAACCAAAATATGGCTTCATCAGTCAATGAAATCCATGACAGTCAGTGTCCGCGAACCACGCACGTAGAGGTATAGACTACCTGGTTGGTTGAGGTACTCGTAATGCTAAGAACCAGTGAAGGCTAGAGACAGTCATCAATGATATGGCTAAAAATCGTTGTCAATGATGGTGGTGCAGATGCATTCACTCTTTGTTATTTGTCACATCTAGTAAGACTCTATTGTTCTTCAATATTACTAACTCCTCTTTTTTCCTCAAACACTCTCCTGTTGAATCTCCCTTTACTCTCTTCTCTTGCTTTGTGGGGTAAATGGAGGGAGAGTGGCAACTCGAACTACTGCACAACTAACTGTGCAAAGTTCAACGCTGAAACCAGTCAGTCAGTCAGTCAATCAGTAACTGTAATGCATACTTTGATTGGACAGTATACAGTAACTAGTGTCAAACTTGACTGATAAAATTCAATCTGCAAAATATGAATGACTAGACACATGTGACACTAGTTACTACTTACCACCTGGTGTCTAATCAAAGACAAATATGCTACTAAGAGATTACGTTGATAACATTATCCTACAAGAATGTAAAGTTAGGATGACTGATTAAAAAGCAACTGATACGCCTACGCAAATTTTAGCCAACGAAAATTACTAATATTGTACATAAGCAATGACAACCCACTTTCTGGGGGGGGGGGGGCGGTGAAACGTGCCTCTAACAAAGCCAACTCAATCAATACATATCCATAATACTAATTACAGACTAAAAAAAAAAAAATAGTGGCATATTAGAAAGGAGTAGGTGGTGCATGCGCGCATTTGAAGTTGTCTAAACTCAGTCAGTTACTTGGATCAGATCTTTTGTGTATCAGAAGGCTATAAAGCACACTTATTGTGTAAAGCCTAATGATACTATTCAGCTGCCCAAGCAGAACGGCATTCAAGTTCTTCAGTCAATGAGCCACATCTCCACAGTATTCAACGGTAGAGTTGAGAGTAGTAGATGTGACCGACACCACGGCTAGATTGAGAAAAGGTTAAGAACCTTGAGGTAATTTGGTGGATAGTGACTACCAGTGGAATCCACTAGGATGTGCATTTCATCCTATTTGAGGACAGTCACCTGGATGTACATCTGCAGCCCCCCAATGAGTGATGGTGTTCTCACTAGGGCTCGAACCCAGTACGCATCGTCCCACAACACACCGAAGCGTTTCCCAGTAGACCACATAGGCCACAACAGCCACCTATTGTGCAACGGGCATCAGTTATTATTGGTTTTCAAGTTTGCCCACAAACTGATATCAGTTGGAGAACCATTGAAAACCATAAAGGAGTACTGGACAGACAGTTGCTTTCTCCTAGTAGATTGGAACTCATTGGCAGAGTTTGAATCCAGAACCTTCATTTTACAAGGCAAGCTCGTAGACCATTTAACCACAAAGACCGAACGCAATGGCCAGCTCAGGTATTCTAACTCCCACTAATTTGCGATTTTAGCGCGACTGATACCATCCAGTGTCATCGCCAGCGAATATCAGTGATCACTTCCGACAGGACGAACCCAGCTTTTCAAAACTTCTCACCAGAAAACTCTAGACAAATTCATCCCGCAACTAACCAGCCAACCAGTCACTACAGAGTGTGTGTCAGATTAGTTATCAAGAGTTAGTTTGTGTGGGAATTTGATTTGTTTGAAGTTTGACCACGGATCGATATCAGTGTTAGAGAACCACTATTGAAAACTAGCCAGAGGGAGTACTGGTTTCAGTTTCGGTTTTGGTTTTCGATTCAATTCAGAATTCCCAGTTGACTGATAGGACGGAGATGCGCATCCCTAATTCCACTTCTAGCCACCACCACCACCACCACCACAACCATTATACACTAAATTGCTTTAAGTTAATCCTTAGACATGGTCGAAGTATCCGTTACTACTAGAAGCCAAACATGTCAACAAAGGCTGGACATTTCAGTCGAATCAATCAATGGGGAAATCAAAATTTAATTTTTTTTCAAGTGTTGGTTTGTAGGGATTTGATTGGTTACAGGATTTCATCATGAGGTAACATTAGTTAGAGAACCATTGGAAAACCTGGGAGTACTGGACAGCTGTTTCGTCCTAGTTTGGGACTCTTCATCAGTATGCACCCACCAGGATTCGCCTTGTAAACAGAAGGTCCTGGGTTCGAATCCCGGTGGATGCGTACTGATGAAGAGTCCCAAACTAGGACGAAACAGGTGTCCAGTATTCCCAGGTTTTCCAATGGTTCTCTAACCAATGTCAGCTCATGATAAATTTTTTTCCTTACAAAAAGGTTATGAATCTATTTTCCTTATCGACAAAGTCATCTTCATCAAAGGCTCTACACAATCATACTTGCACTTACTAAGAATGCGATGAGTAAATAGAAGGCTGTATGTATGTAACACTAAATGATACAGTCCCCCCCCCAAAAAAAGTGGTTTCTAAGAGTATAGTAGAAATTACGTAATAATCAACGATATACAATGGAAATAAGAGTATGAAATTTGATACAGTGAAAATTGCTATCAATTAAGTGAAAAGTAAGATGGTTGAGTGTCCACTCAACAACTAGTATGAAGATAAATAACAACTTA